GTTATGACTTTTTAATATTTTTTCTACTCATGTAATGAATTATAAGGATTGATATTTTTGAATGTTAAACCACCATTGCATTCCTTTAGTGAACTGTTACTGATGATATGTCCTTTTGATATATCACAAAATTCTATTCGCTGATTTTTAAAAGGATTTTTGCATGTATGTTAATAATGAAAATGGTTTATAAGTTTTGTTTCTTGCTTTTTTTTAGGTTTTTGTGTTTTTATTATACTAGTCATAGTAAATCAATTGATAAGTGTACTTCTTTTTAGTTTTCTGGAAGTTTTTGTGTAAAATTGATATTTTTTTCTTTAAATGTTTGGGAAAAGTAATCTGGGCCTGCAGTTTTCTTGTGGAAAGGTTTTTGATAACATCTCATATCCTTAGTAGATATAAGAATATTCAGATTTTCCATTTCTTCTGTCAGGTTTGTTAATTTTTTAAAAGAATATAACCATTTCATCTAAAGTGGCAAATTGTTGGCATAAAGTTGTTCATAATAGCATCAAGTTATATGCTTAATGTGTATAAGATATGTAGTGATGTTCTCTTTTTCTCATTATTGGTTATGTTTTATCACTTTTTTTTATTAGTCTTGCTCTAGGAGTTTATAAATTTTGTTTGTCTTTGCAAATGCTGAGTTTAAGGGTTTGTTGTTGTTGTTGTTGTTTAGTATATTTGTTTTCTGTTTCATTAATTCTGTTATTTCTTTTCTTTCTGTTTTGCTTTTGTTTTCTTTTCAATTTTATTATTATTATTATTTATTTCTTGAGATAGTTTATCTATTTTCAGCCTTTCTTTTTAAAAATAAGCATTTATGGCTATTTTCTCATAAGTACTTGCTTTAGCTGTGTCTCAATTTTTTTTTTTTTTTTTTATGGGTTCTTGCTATTTTGCCCAGGCTGGATTCAAACTTTTGGGCTCAAGCAATCCTCTCGCCTCAGCTTCCCAAGTAGGTGGGACTACAGGCTAGCGCCACCATGCCTGGCTTCACAATTTTTCATATGCCATATCCTTATTATTCAGTTCAAAATATTTTCTGTTCTGATTCATTCTTTGACACTATGGATCATTTACAAGTGTATTATTTAATTTTCAAGGAGTTGGGGTGTTTTTTGTACTTTTTGTTGTTCATTTCTAGCTTAATTCTGCTGTAATTAGTTCAGATGATTTTAGTTTTTGGAAATTTATTGACACTTGCATTAGGATACAGCTTGATCTAATTTGGTAAATATTTTAGGTACACATGAAAAAATGTGTATTTTACAATTGTTGAATGCAATATTCTATATATTTCAGTTGTGTCGAGTCTGTTAATTATATCATTCAGATCTTCTATATCCTTTCTGCTTCTTTTGTCTGTTTATTCTATCAGCTGTTGAGAGAAGTTCATTAAAATCTACCAGTATGATTATGAATTTATCTATTTAGTTGCTTTATATATTTAAAAAAGCTGTTATTAAGTACACATAAATTTAGGACTGATTTGTTTTACTGATGAATTGTTTTATCAATATGAAATATTTCTAGAAATGATTCCTGCTTTAAAGCCTATTTTGTCTGGTATAGTATTTCTGTGATGTATCTTTTTCTATACCTTTATTTTCAAATTCTTTTATATTTAAAATGCATATAGGTTCTGTCAGATGTCATTTCATT